GGGTGCTGGGATTAGGGCCCTATAGCTGCTCCCGGGCCCCCAATCTCCCATAGGCCCCTTATACCGCCCCCTCATGCTGTGCTAGGTCCAGAGTCTTCTGGGCCCTGTACGGCCCCCCCATTTCTGTCTCCATCCCCACACTTGCCATGTGCCATTTTTCAGGTCTCCTCACACTGTGGTGTGTTAAATTTTTTTGACTTTAGGGTGCTGGCAGTTTACGGGCCTCCTATAGCTGTGCCGGGCCCCCTAATTCCCAAAGGGCCCCCTATATACCGCCTCCTCCCTGCTGGCTGCCAGGTGCAGATCTCTCATGGGGTCCCTGTACGGCTCTCGCCCATTGCTGCCTGTATTCCATCGCTCACCCAAAACTCTGCCATGTGCCACTTTCAGGTCTTCCTCAACACTGCGTGGTGTGTTGAATTTTTTGACATAGGGTGCTGGCAGATTACGGGCCTCCTATAGCTGCCCTGCCAGGCACCTAATCTGCCATAGGCCCCTATATACCGCCTCCTCATGCTGCTGCTAGGTCCAGAGTCTCTCATGGGTCCCTGTACGGCCTCCATTGCTGCTGTCTCCATCGCCACACTCTGCCATGTGCCACTTCCAGGTCTCCTCACACTGCTGGTGTGGTTACCATTTTTTTGTCATAGGGTGCTGGCAGATTACGGGCCTCCCATAGCTGCTGCCAGGCCCTAATCTGCCATGGGCCCTATACCGCCTCCTCATGCTGCTGCCAAGTCCAGAGTGTGTCATGGGTCCCTGTACGGCCTCCCATTGCTGCTGTCTCATAGCCACACTCTGCCATGTGCCACTTTCAGGTCCCTCACACTGCTGGTGTGTTCAATTTTTGACATAGGGTGCTGGCAGATTACGGGCCTCCCATTGCTGCTGCCAGGCTCGTAATCTGCCATGGCCCCCGTACCGACTCCTCATGCTGTGACGTTGCAACAAGGTGGAATTCAACCCTACATATGTTAGACCGCCTTTACGAACAGCGAAAGGCCATCACAGATTTCCTGATGTTAAAAGCGGATAAAGGTACTCCCTGTGTAACTTAGATGTCAGCCATTGGCAGCTCAATGCGTGACACCTGCCGCTTGCTCAGGCCCTTTGAGGAGGCCACGCTATTCGTGAGTCGGCAGGACTATGGGATGAACGACGTCATTCCTCTGTTGCACGTCCTGGAACAAATGCTGTTAACAATGGCTGGTCAGGGTGCGGTAGACGTGGCGCACAGATCTCAACGCCACATGACCCCTGTGGGGGCAGGACAGGAAGAAGAGGAGGAGGTAGAGGAGGACATTGGTGCTCAGGAATTATTGAGTGAAATGGGTGGTTTTTCCACTCAGCGGACAGGAGTGGAGGAGCGCAGGAGCATCTGGTAGAGGAGGAGGAGGAGGAGACAGAGGACCCAGACGCACCGTGGCAGTATGCTGTGGAGATGGAGGCAGGGAGTCCCTCGCATTCCTTGGCACAAATGGCCCATAGCATGCTCGGTTGCTTGCGTAGCGACAGCCGAATAATAACCATCAGACAGAGGGATGACTTTTGGCTGTCCACCTTGTTGGACCCTCGCTACCCTTCCAAAATGGTGGCCTTTTTCACACCTGCTGAGAGGGAGGCCAAAATTACGTACTATAAAAACCACCTATGTAGTCAGTTGGTCTCTGCCTTTGTGCGCCAACGTCCATCCTCAGACACTGTGGGCCCTGTGCGCTCGCGTTCCGCTGGCATGGCAGCAGTTGAGGGGTGGGGTGGTAGGAGCAGTGGCAGCTCCACCAGCAGCGGCTGCCTCAGTCCTGCAGTCGATGATGAGTAGCTTTCTTCACCAGCGCAGTGAGGAAACTACTAACCAGCCGCAGCAGCAGCAGCAGCATCAGGTGGACCTGGAGCAGGAGCTCAAACAACAGGCTTGGGCCTACTTGGACAGCACCCTGCCAACCGGGTAGACAATCCCCTTGACTACTGGGCAACGAAACTTGACCTTTGGCCCCAACTAGCTGAATTTGCCCTTGAAAGGCTGTCATGCCCGGCCAGTAGCGTGGCATCGGAGCGCGTGTTTAGTGCGGCAGGAGGTATTGCAACTCCGCGGAGGACACGACCTGTCCACCCCAAAGTGTGGAGAGACTCACGTTTGTGAAAATGAATCAGGCGTGGATTAGTCTGGATTTCAAACCACCAGTTCCTGACACAACTGACTAAATCCGCCATGTATCATGCCCCAAAACATGTGCCACTTTCAGGTCTCCTCACACACTGCTTGTGTTTTCAATTTTTTTTGACATAGGGTGCTGGCAGATTACGGGCCTCCCATAGCTGCTGCCAGGCCCCTAATCTGCCATGGGCCCCTATATACCGCCTCCTCATGCTGCTGCCAGGTCCAGAGTCTCTCATGCCATGTGCCACTTTCAGGTCTCCTCACACACTGCTGGTGTGTTCAATTTTTTGTCATAGGGTGCTGCCAGATTACGGGCCTCCTATAGCTGCTACCAGGCCCCTAATCTGCCATGGGCCCCTATATACCGCCTCCTCATGCTGCTGCCAGGTCCACAGTCTCTCATGGGTCCCTGTACGGCCTCCCATTGCTGCTGTCTCCATCGCCACACTCTGCCATGTGCCACTTTCAGGTCTCCTCACACACTGCTGGTGTGTTCCATTTTTTGTCATAGGGTGCTGGCAGATTACGGGCCTCCCATTGCTGCTGCCAGGCCTGTAATCTGCCATGGGCCCCCGTACCGCCTGGTCACGCTGCTGCTGGGTCCACAGTGTGACATGGGTCCCTGTACCGCCTCCCATTGCTCCCACTCTGCCATGTGCCACTTTCAGGTCTCCTCACACTCCTGCTGGTTTCCATTTTGTCATAGGTTGCTGGCAGATTACAGGTCTCCCATAGGTGCTGCCAGGCCCCAAATCTGCCATGGGCCCCCGTACCGCCTCATCACGCTGCTGCTGGGTCCACAGTGTGACATGGGTCCCTTGTACCGCCTCCCATTGCTCCCACTCTGCCATGTGCCACTTTCAGGTCTCCTCACACTCCTGCTGGTTTCCATTTTGTCATAGGTTGCTGTATGGCCTCCCATTGCTGCTGCCTCCACCGCCACACTGTGGCTCCAAACACTGGTTTTGGCCCCGTGACTGGCCAAATGAGTGAAGTGTGCGGTGATTCTAAGATCGACGGCACTCATCTGCATGTCATACTGAGTGACAGTATTATTTCTCTTCCCCAGAGCAGACTCCAAGGGCATTTAAATTAAAGGTACAGTGTTCTGCACTAATATTAAGTCTCTCTGAAGCCTAGAAACACCCTTTTTTAAGTTAAATTCACAGCGAATTTATTCGACTCGAATCGAATATTGTCCACGAATTCGCCGAATCAGTCGAATCGAATTTTTCATTTCTTCGCTCATCTCTATCAATAACAATACATCAAAATTCGACAGAACTTGGGATCCTTTCCATCCTTAGCAGGACCCTGGCTGGCCCTCTTTTACTTCACTCTTTTTCTTATTCTCTTTTTTTTCTCATTTTCTCCCTTATTCTTTCTTCATACTTTTTGTTTTCCATTATTAACTTTTGATGTATCTGACTATAGTACCGAACTGCTGTTTGGTCACTTTTTTCATAGTGAAATATGTACTGGAACTCTGTTCATTGTTGCTGTTTACCCCCTTTTATCTGTGGGTTACACCAAAGGGACTTCTTGGTCCCACATATGTATGCAATGTTCGTTTCCTCAGGACCAGTTCACACCACAAAAATGCACTCCAGATGCATTCCGGATATGTTTTTTTGCTTACAGTTCACACCATGTGCAGTTCCGGTGTAGTTTTTATACAGTTTGCTATGTTCCAGTATGGTTCTGTGCAGAAAAAATGCAGCATGTTCTACTTTTTTTTCTGCATCGGAAACTGACTGGAACTGACTGCACTGGTGTGAACTAGGGCCATTGGAATATATGGAAAACCCTGCGCATGCATTTTTTGATGCAGAAAAAAAAAACGCACTGGACTGCATCTAGTGTTAACTAGCTCTTAATCATTCAGTACAATGCCAATGCTACCTATGTTCACATGTGAATATTGTCCTGAGAGCTCAATATCTCTCATTTGTTTGTACTTTCGGTTTGTATGTTTGGTCTTTTCAATAAAAATATTGAAGCATAAATAGGGCCCTTAGTCGTAATGGTATTACTAAACAAAGTTTTAGTGCATCTGCTGCCAGATACACTGTGATATTAGACATTATTTTTACTTTTATTGCTATTTTAAATGCTTATTGCCTTAGGTCATTGCGAACATCGTGTTGCTATGGAGACATGGAGACATCCATTCATTGCTGACCAGAAGAATGGAAATAGCCAGGAGAACAGAAAGTGTAGAAAGAAAATGCCTCTGACTATGTTGTCTTTATTCCACTGTATTTCAGTTTTTTTGTAACAATTTAAAAGATATTTTGAAACATATATGTATATACAATTAATACTTTTTATTAATCAAGAAAGTTTGAGAACCCTTTGAGTGGCTTATAGGGCCATAACATCTGTTGAATAATTCCCTTTTCTATTTTTGACTGCAGATAGTTTTTGGGCTGTGCTTAGTGTAATTTTCACCATTACATGATCATTGAGCTTCTCAGCAGTAAGGTTGCTGTCAATCTTTAATGAAATCACCATTTGCAAAAATGTAGCTTCGTCTTATAGGAAGCCTTCACCATGCTTCACTGTGTTCTGTTAGAGCCAAATATTTAAAATTTAGCCCTTCCTATATTGTAGTGAGAATGTTGACATTTACACTTGGCCAGGAGATGAAGACTGTCTGTTGAATGTGTTTGTTACACTGGCATATCCCATTCACAGCCATGGTTTTGTTTTTACTACCGACTACTCTTTTATTCCACCTGGCTAAGCAAACATTTCCAGGCAAAATGTGCATTTTGTAAAGAAAAGTTATGGCACAGGATTCATTTGTTGCATACTGTACCTGTTATTGCTTTGCAGTATGTTGTGATGAATGTTTTATTTTAGGTTTCTTGCATATGCTCTGAGTGATGGTGTTGCGCACAAGACTTGGGTTGCCAGGACCTGTAATGAACTATGGCCTATATAACAGACTAGATGTACTGCCTGGTGTCACCAATGTGGTAAAGATCATTGTAATGTTATAATGAAAGCTGATAGACAATGCTACACCTGACAGATTGTGACTAACAGCACAACAAATACATTAGCATATTCTCCACTGCTATGCTTTATGCCTTTTTAACTTAGTGATGGAAGCTGTGTCTGACAACATATCTTCCACATTTCTACCAGAAGCTTCTTTCAGCACTTATTTGGAATCACAGTACACAGTAGCTCTGCTAAATAGGTTGAAGCAGTTGACTTCAGATAAAAATGTTTTGTTTTTCTTCAGTTTACAATATTCAGTATTTTGCAACATATCAAACTTTGCTTTCTAGTAGCTAATAATGCTTTAAGTGGTATTAAACCCAAATCAAACATTTATTATATTTCAGCTTACCAATTCTTAGATGTGATAGCTGCATTCATTTTCTTTTTCAGGCTTTCTTTCTTATATTTTTATCTGGTGATCCAGCCAACAAGTCTATTGTTTTTCAAAAGCACAGCTCTCCAGCAGAATGCATCTGATTCCATGGATGGGACAAACCATTTAACATAGGCAACGGTGCTTAAAATGATCAGCTTTTATTTATTCATGTAAAACCTTTATGCCAAAAGGAAAAAAAAACAGCTGTAACTGATTAAAGATCAAAGAGCTGGAGTTTGGCTTCAATTTGTTATTATATTTAAATCTGCTAATACATTTACAACCCCCGGCTGTCTGCTGTGCCTCCTGAGCTCCTTCATCCAGTGTGGGGCACTCTAATATAGGAGGTGTGTTACTGGCAAGATCACCAGGTGAAAACAGAGAATAATGCCAAGAAAACTGAGGCAGGCACTATATCTAATGATTGATAAGCTGCAATAGATTACATTTTTGGTTTTGGGTTTAACACCACTTTAAATATTTAGTTGTTAATAAATATTTAATTATGGTTTAGCGCTCACTAAATACTGTGATGTTAAAAACAAGTTGCTGATGGTTCTGCAGTTGTACTTCACTGCAGTACCACTTGTATTGCTCCAGCAATCTGTGTCTATATCTCTTTTTTTAAAGTGGTATTAAATAACAAAATGTATCATATTGTAGATTATCAGTTCTGGTGGCTGCATTAGTTTTTTTTAATTTGTTTTTTTTTTCTTTATTTTCACCTGTTGAAAATAACCTCTATCAGTAAGTCTGCTATTTTACAACTTCCTTTAACAGAACCAGCTGTCAAGCAAAAGTGGCAGTTAGCGGGTTTAGACAAACAATTTAGCACTGACAGGGGTGCTTACAATGGTCAATTCATTTATGTAAAACCTTTATCCAAAAGAAGAAAAAACTGTTAGCTGTAACTGCTTAAAAAGTGTTAGCTGGAGTCCAGTTTTATTTTGTTAGTCAAGTCCACCTATATCTACTAGCGCATCGCACACTAGCCTATTCCCATATTGATAGTGCTTCTTTCCAAAGGTGGCTCTGTTGCTTCCCCATGCAGTAGAGTCATTCAAAGACAGGAAGTGTGCAGCCACCACATGTTAAAGTGACACTTAATTCAGAAAAGCACCTTCTTTTGCTTTTGGCCTCCTCCAAATCTCCACATTCTTTATACCTTTTCAAATCGGGAGCAACGGCTGTGTCTGTGCAGTTACTGCCTCCCAAAAGACATGAATGGGAATGCCTGCACAGGGATGCATGGAACACCTGTGTATCCCTATGCGGGAAAACATGGCCTTCACAGAGGTGTTCGCGTAAAGTGGTTGTAAACCTCAGACATGAAATATGAACAAGCCATATCCATCTATAGTGTTTACTTGTCTCAATCCAGAGCATGTCCAAGTGTCATTTCTGTCTTCTCCCTTGTTCCTCTGCTATCTGTGTGCGTCACTTCTGATGAGTTCTTCTGACACCAATAGAAAAATGGTGACAGGGTAGGGCAGAACTTGTAATTGTCCCTGTGTGTTGTGTGAGGTGGGGGTGTCCCTTCCCTCCAATCAGTTCTCAGAGCTCTCCTCACTGATCCCCCTAACTTCAAATCTCCGCTTCCTGCTTCTCAGAGCTCAGAGATCCCGTGTAAATCCTATTTAGAAGGATTTGTTTAACATTGTATCTATCTTTCTCCTTGCATAGAGAAATCAAAACAACTGTTTGTTAAAAAAAAAGATAAATATATATTATTAAAAAATAAAGTAAAAAATAAAGAAAAAATACCTAGATCAAGGTTTGATCTAGTTCAGTGCCAGCGTTAGTATTTGGGTCAAGGTCAGGGTCAAAGGTCTGGATTTTTTTTTTTTTTCTCATAATTTGTATCAGTGTCAGTGTGTTTTAGGTAAAAAAAACAAAATGTACACTATTGTTTCTGGGCTATACTGTGGGTACAAACAACAAATAACACACATTTATGGTATCGCTGCGATCGTCAAGAGCTGGAAAATTTATTTTGGGTTGTTCTTTGGTGGTAAGTTATGGTAGTAACAAGAAACACACAGCTAAATTAAAAAAAAATATTTTTTTTTTACTATTTTGGACCATTTTTCCTTTGATAGTAGAAAAATCAGGAGATATCAATTACCATTTACCACCAAATGAAAGCCCAATTTGTCCTTAAAAAAACAAGATATAATCCACCTGGATGTACAAAGTAGTTGTGATGATATGTACAGATTTACCAACATGTCAAAGTTGCAAAATTGTGCATAGGCGGTAAGATATCTTTTACCCTTAGGCGTGAAGGAGCTAATCTCTGTGTATCACCTGAGGCCAGTCACTTCACTGGGTACATGTAAGTGTTTACAACCACTTTAAGTACACCAGTGTGAACAAGTCCTAACAGTAATGTACAGACATGCATGCATACACACACATGCATCTAAACTTAGGCACACATGCATACACACACACTCGCATACATATAGCCTGTTGAAAATAACTCTGTTTACTGTACCTGGCAGATGCCAGCACCCGTGTTTGGCATCCATGCTTCTGAGTAAGATGCTTGTGTACACAGTACTGCATGTTAAATGTAGCCAGGGCTAGTTGAAACTCAGGAAGAAGCCTTTCCCCTTCCACATCTTTGCCCATTACTACCCGCTCTCACTCTACAGTTCAGTGCTTCTCTGCTTCCTGGAGGCAGAGAGCCAGTTGGTTTCTCGGCTTGTCAGCCAGTCACCCCAGTTGAGAA